AAAAAAAGGTTTACATGACAAACCATGTCATTAAATATCAGTTAGACAAAAAGTGTATTGACTCAAATCAGGGAAAAAATGAATCTCAGAAGTTTGGGTTTTACTGTCAACATTGTTCAATACTCGTGTAAATAAGTATGAGAACGGGGTGCTACAAGAATAGACTGAAGCACCTGTAGAACAACTGGATTTAAATTAATCACACTGGGAATGTTGCAGGATATATAATTACTCTCCCATATCTATCTTGAGGACTGCAAAACAAAGTCTGGATACTTTAACAATGCAAACTGTGAAATACAACAAGTTTAATAAGCAAATTTGCTTGCAATGGCAAGCTCCTCTTCTTTTCTAAAGCGCCTGCTGGATTGTTACTCAATGGCTTTATTGTTTTGGGATCAGAAAGCGAGGACTTCAGCTCTACAATGCACAGTTTGTCACCCTTTGGATAAAGGAGCTGTGAACCAAAGCAGCGGGACATGCTTGCATTTAGCACAGTGTGCTCTGAAGAGTGGAGCACATGCTGGCTGGACTTGAAAGCCCTGAAATGCCAGCCAGTTCCTCCAGTTAAATTGGTGAGACCTCCACATACCTGTGGAGTGTGAAAAGACGCTGGTGCTCATCATTCTGCATTAGGATTGAGTTCATCTTATCAAATGGGCCTTTGAGCATATTGTGGAGTAATTTACCAACCGAAAAAATCATAACGATTTTCCACTTCATTTACCTCAACAGTAGCTACGTAATGTCAATAGTTTTAAACATTTAATTAGACACACCACGTGTTTTATGCTCTACTAATTACATAAAATTGTGCTCAATAATTTTCTTCCCATTGAAACAAACCTTCAGCAGCTGTTAAAACACTAATTAGGTGAATGCTTCCACGCTGTGCGTTTGGCTGGGTGCCGAGCGCATTCCTCCCAGTGGTGAGTGGGGTTTTTCCAGTGTCCATGATGCAACCCTGAGCGCATGTCAATCTCTGCTGCACCACAGAACTAAGAGTGAACTCCAAACATTTATTTTGGCCCTCACCTTAGAAAACTAACATTATATATATGTAAAACACAACAGTTCAGAAAGCTGTTCAATTACACTGGGCTCTTATTTTTTTGTGTTTCCATTTGTATCTCCAAAGAGCAGCTAAATTTGACACAGACCTTGTCATTTGCAATCTCCTATGAAATCAGCACTTTTTATTACATTGGAGCTGCCTTACAGACATTATCTCACAACACAGTCAAAAATGCATTGCTGAGCCTGGTACAAATGAACCCTTTTACTTAGATACTTTAGAGTTATTTTGTTCCTAAATTGTTTTAAAAAGTTATGTGAACCAAAGTTATCCATGTATACAGTGGCAAGGGATGGGAAAATATTTTTTGTTTTTCAGTTTTACACAAGAAGATAATACAGAAAAGTTTTATTTATTTTAAATATCCCTGAGAAAGGGCATTCAAGTCTTTCCATTGATAAGTTTGGTGATCCTAATGGCATCCAGAATTGAGTCAGTACCTCTGAATGTCTCAACTGCCTTCACTCAGAGCTTTAACTCCAGTAAAATCAGGTTCTCTTAATTAGTGACTAAGCCTATACAGCTGCAGGCCTAATCCTGGCATTCCTACAAGGACAGAGGCCTGGCAGAGGGGACCAGATTGCCAATAACAGGAACTGTCTGACAGTTCCTACCTCAGCAGTCCCCCAAACCTGCCCGTGCCTCTGGGAGCTGGGATTTTGCTTTTGACCACATCCTGATGATTCCAGACTCAGGATTTGTTCCTGAAGAATTCCTATAAAAAGAAATTGCCCATAATGGCCATCCTCAGAAACACAGATATATATACTTTTCTCTATGTATTTTTTTTAATTGGACCATAGTGAGTGTACATAAAAACAAACTTCAAAAGAAAATAGGGGGGTTTTTTTGCCTTTGACAAATTTTAAGCATTATCACCTGAGTATGCTCGCTGCTTCTACAGCCATGAAAATATGTTATATTACAAATTAATAGATTGTTTATGTTTTTAGTTAATCTCTTTTCTTCACAAATTTTGTTAATGATACTTCTTTTTTAATCATTTCCAGTGATTGTTGATCTGGCTGAGAATGGATCTTCTAAAATACATTGCACCTGTGGACTTCCTTCTTTTATGGAAAATTAGGAGGGACATGTCCTGGCTTCCTTTTCCAGTGGCATTAGGAACTGCATCAGGTGTACTGTTGAGTGTTTTTTATTTTATAACTTGCATGCTCTGAAGTCAGGAACTTCACCAAAAAAAAAAAAAAAAAAAGACACAATTCAAATCCATATACCACATCACTGAAAACTTTAAGAACAGATCTTCTTAAAAGACAAACCCAAAACATAAAAAATGCTAAATTTCCATAGTTCACATTGACCTCATGTACTTGTACAAATGGAAGATATTTTCTTAAAAAAAAAAAAAAAAAAAAAAGAAAAGGAATAAGAATTTCCTGGTTTTAGTGTCTATATATAAATTCAGAAATTTTTTCTCTGTCTTGATTTATTTTGTTTAAAAAACCCTGCCAGTGCAACCAGTCCACACACAACCAAGAGGCATTTCCTGGTTAAAAAGAGCATTTTCCTGTTTTCTGGAGGTTCCCAGTTTAGCCTGTTTCTTAATCCTTTTTCAGCTAGTAACATACCTGTACAAAGTGGGTAAAGGGAGGTATAGCTGAGGCAACATTAACATGCTAAGTGATTTTCCTTCTTTCAAACAGTCCCTTCACATAAGAGATAGACTGTAAATCTTCATCAATTAATAATACTGAGATATAAGACAGGATCAAATGGAAGCTGTATTAAATGTATCTGTGGATGAAATTTCAAGTTCTCTTCCCACACAAGACCCACAACACTTTTCCTAGTACTAAGGTGTCATTGAGTCTCACCATTAAATTCTTGAGTCCTAAATGCAGAGTTCCCTTCCTGAACTATTCCTTTTACAAATCAAAATAGCAAATCTAGTGTTTGCTTTCCCACCTTGCAGGATAAAACATCCCCATCAATCAACTAATTCCAGCAGGCTGATCTAGGAAAATGTCATCTAAACAAGCTGATTGGTTCCAAGGATCATCACTGCAGGAAAAACAAATAAACAAACAAACCATAGACCTTTTATGTGCTCTTAGAAATGAAAATGTAAGTCCTTTTCAAAAATAAATTTGGGGGGGGGGAGGGGCGAAGCTCATACCTCTGAAAGGGAGGAATTAATCTAAGGTCTATTTCTGATAAATATTTAAATAGGATGAGCATGGGCACTTGCCATGTATTTGGAAATTTAATTTAGTACATAATAGCCACTGCATTTTCTTCTACTTTTGTGTGGACTTGTTTAATGCACAAGGACGTTCTGTAAGGACAAGGCTATTCTTATTTTTACAGGCATAAAAAACTGTGAAGATTCACTTGCTTAAGTCTTCTTCTAGAAAATGACAGTGGAAATTACACTAGTGTGGAATAATTACACTGTACGCATGTTGCTCTCTTCTGTAGCCAGTCATTAAGTTTGGAAAAGACTTCTAAGATCATTGAGTCCAGCCATTAACCCCACACTGCCAAGGCCACCACTGAACTGTGTCCCTAAGCATCTACACATTGTTGAGCAGTTTCAGGGGTGTGTATTCCACCACTTCCCTGGGCAGCCTGTTCCAGTGCTTGGCCACTCTTTCAATGAAGACATTTTTCTTCATATCTATCCAATCTACACCTATACTGGCACAGCTTGAAGCCGTTTCCTCTTGTCCTATCACTTGTTACCTGGGACCCCCACCTGGCTACAGCCTCCTTTCAGGTAGTTGTAGACAGCAAGAAGGTCTCCCCTGAGCCTCCTCTTCTCCAAGCCAAGCACCCCCAGCTCCCTCATCTCCTCCACATAAGTTGTGCCCTAGACCCTTCCCCAGCTCTGCTGCCCTTCTCTGAACTTGCTCCTTCCTGCATCTCAATGTCCTTCTTGTCGTGAGGAGGGGCCCAAAACCAGACACAGGATTTGAGGTGCAGCCTCAGCAGTGCCAAGTCCTTTCTCAAGCTGGTGGACTGTTCACTGATAGCAAAACCCCAGTACATCTTTCCAACATTCTCATCTCACACCATTTGAAGATGGGATTCGGATCAGATGACTTCCCAAGGTCCCTTTCAACCTGAACATTCTACAATGCCTGCAGAACACTGGCAATCACATCAGGTGGCCACAACCTCAGTACCTTTCACACACAGCTCATTTCCTATTTATTCCTTTTTCCTGCATGAGTCAGTTGCACTCACCTGCTTCAGCCTAAGAAACTCAATTATTTCCTTTTTACAGCAGAGTACAGGGTGCTACAGGGTAATTTTCCCTTTCCAGCTTCCATATTTATTTCACGGAAACTTCCTTTATCAACCACATTCATGTTCTTAGAAATATGTTCGTTTCAATAAAAATGACTTGCTGTTTTATGGAAGTTGAAGGCCAATGACCCAAATCCTATAAATCATTAAAAATACTTTCTGCCATAGAATCCTAAGTTGCTTTTTTCTCAGTAGCAGAGAAAGTATTTTACTATAAAAAGTTACATTTTTGCTCACACTAAAAATTCTGCATTAAAAATACACTAAATGAGGGACAGATGTTTAAAACAGCAGACCTACAATGAAGTATTAAATATTGCTGGCACAGGGTGCCCTTTGGTACAGTTTAGTCTCTTTTTGCAATAGGCATGTTTTCACAGCTGTACAAGCATGAAAAATTACTGTCTTTGCTCCAATATTAATATAGAAATCTACTAAAAAATACACCAGACTGCTGAACAGATTAAACCATTGTTCATACATTCTATCATTAAAATAATTTGCTTTAAAAATAAATATTAATGTCAAATGTTTTGAAGTTAAGAGGAATAGTGTCACTTTGAAGAATATATGGATTATCTATACAAAACCAAACAATTCCATTTTTTTCAAAATAAAAATGCAAGCTTCCAAGAAATCAAAGAAATCAAACCTGCTACTTGATGTTTTGCTCAATGACAAGATGTCCAGCCCACAGCAGCACAGAGAAGATGAACAATCTTGTGTGAAATCACTCCAAATCAGCACTGAGGATGCAGTGTAGGATTAAAGCCCTTTTCCACAGGTATTGGTGGTGTCTTAGAGCTATGGGAGAAAGTAAGATAGGTCACGGAAGAGCAGATTTTTGTGGTCTAGGGGATTTTTGTGTTAAAACGTGATACACATAAACAGGATAGGCAAAGAGATAACACATAGAACAGAATGATAATATTAAAAACTTCAGACCTAGTAACTGTGAGGATGAACTTGATAAATCCATAAACAACAATAGGATATGCTCACCACTATAGATAGGTTTTGCTACATTAAAGATTTAATTTCTATATCTCAGGCTGGTGGCTCAGAGCTCCAAAATCAAACATCACAAGCTCACACTCTGCTGGATTTTGTCTCAGTCTTGGTGCTCATTTACCTGAGCACTAAGCAATCTGTGATCATCATAGTCCTGATGAAGTGATGCCTACTTAAGTTTGCAACCTGCCTGGAATAAGAATAGTTCTGAGATATCCATAGCTCAATTTGTTTTAGCCAGTGCTACTTCAAATACCAATTAGAAACATTAGTCCTTGTGACATGAAACTCTTTTTACTACTCAAAGCAAGGAGATGAAATGTTACAAAAATCTGCATATAATGTTAGATGAAAGGTGGAGGACTTAGCTTTGGTCCTTGAGGGAACCAGGAAAAAAACAATTCTACTGAATGTGCAAGCACTAATAATCTTTGTCCAAACTCCTAACAGAGAAGTGATGGGGTGCTGGGGAGAGACAAAGCTTGATTAAAAGCTCAAAACCCCAGAAACATTATTTTAAAAGCTAGGAAAAAAAAAACTTGAAGAAAGGACAGAACAACACGGGATGAGAATACAGCATGTTGGCCAACTAGCAGGATGCTAGCACATGCAGTAATAGAAACAAAGCCGCACAAGGCTTTGGGAGCACAGCTCCTGCTCAATAAACAAATTCCTTGCGACTGGAGACATTTCTTGGAAGGAATTTTTATGGCACAAACGTTTCTACTCTCTTCTGGAAGCCCTGGAAAACCAAACCCAAACCTCCCCCCCACTTCACACACAAAAAACCTGAAGATGTTGACAGCCCAAGTGAAACTGGATTGTCATGCTCTAGAAAGCCCCTTGTTATCTGCCTTGAGGTCTTTGCTGAGGAGGTTCTACCCATCTGTGAAGCTCAAAGCCCTTCTCATAACTAATTCCTGCCCTGAAGGAATGCCCACATCTCTGGAAGCCTTGGTGTGATGGGCATGTCCTACACAGAGCCCCACCAGACTTCCCCCAAGTCTGGGGTTCCAACCTTGCACACCTGGGGATGCAAAGGCATGAAACAGCAGCACTGCCACAGTGGCCAGCACAGTCCAGCACATAATTAAACAAAGAGAGCCCTCGACCCTCTGGTTAAACAAAAAAAAACCCCAGGGACTATAAAATGTAAGCAGGGAAGGGAGAGAGGGGGGTTAAAACAATCTCTGAGCAGGAAAACAAGATAAATTCATTGAATAAATTATTTACTGGAATTATTCACTTAGCTTCAATTACAATCTATCCATTCTATCCACCATCTACATCAAATTATAATAAATTATTCTATTATAACTTGGCTTCATTCCTGCTGATTTGCAATAGCTTATTTTTTCAGAAAATAATGGTCTGATGCTGTTCAACCTTCAACAGGATTTAGATGTAGACATACCCAAAAGAAAATTTCTAAACATACCCAAAAGACAACTTGTTTTTGAGAATCTCACTCCTTCTGTAAATTAAAGAGAGGGGAGCAAGCATATTATATTTAAACTGCCAGTAGATATTTTAACAACATAAAAAAGACCCAAGATATCAAAACAATATTAAAACAAAAATATCCTTTCCAAAAATATGCTTTCCTGAAATATTTGGCATATGTCCTTTACTGAATACTCAAATGCAGTTCTGAGAATATAAAAGCACTCTTCATCCTTCTGCCATCAAGTCTCTTTTCAGAGCAGATGTTTTAGGATTCTTCTGAATCTAAAATATCTCGTTCTGTTTTATCAGACCACCTCTGAAATTCATAAAGAGTTGTACTTGAAAATGCAGATGTACAGAATGCAGAAAAAGGAAAAAAAACCCATGAAGGTCGCTTTTTAATGTAATATATCAAAATATGGTTAGTTTCCACAGCGACAGAGAAGAATTATTTTTTAGGAATCCAAATCTGCACTGGGATAAAATGAGCACAGGTCAAACTAAAATGTCTAGTTACACTAGACATTTCACCTACACAGTAGGTGAAATGTCCAGTTAAGTCAAGGGTTTGCTAACATGTTCTCACGTTTTCTCACCTTCCTTTCCTCATTCCCATACTCCTACCTTCTCTGTACCTATAAGCTGATCAGACACTTAAGTTTTAATTCTATATACACTGTAAGTTTTACAATGTCCTTGATTTCATCACAGCATGTATCACATTGTAGATGCAAACGGAAATATAAGGAAAAAGGAGAGAAAAAAACTTGACTTTTACACATTTTTCCAGTAGGTTATGAAACAACACTACAAAGCAAGAGATAACCAAGGCCTTATGGGTCTCTCTTACCAGGGGCAGCTGCTGGAGCAGCAGGATAAGGCCAAATGCTACCCATGTAAGCAAACTGAAGGCAAAGTTAAACCAGGTGGGCATGCTCTGAATGGGATAGATTGGTTCTATCCCTGGCAAAAAATGAAGGATAATGTAGAAGATAAAAGTGCAGAGGAATTCCACCACAAATATAAGAACCTGAAAGCACCTCGGGTGTAGCCACAAATTCATATCCATAAGTAAAAGAACCTGAAAGCACCTTGGATGTATGCACCTCACGTTCCACCTTTTCAAACATGCATCTCAGAAAAAACGCCAGACATCGCACCGGTAAGATGAAAGCAACGCTTACTTTCTCTGTCATTCTTACAGGAAAAGTGTGGTGTTTTATTTTCCTAGTATCAATTTGTTCTACTATGCTAGAAGTGCTTTTGTAATCCTAAAAACACACCAGCACTACTTCCATGTAGTTTCATTGCTGTGTCTACTACCATTAAAGGGTAAGCGTATGCTTCAAGACAATAATTCACTTAGCAAGTTGCCAGAGCCAGCATTATGTGAATAAGCCTGATAGATCTCTGTTCCTAACCTATCAGAAAACAATTTATGGAATCTAATAAATTAAAAATGAATTGTCTCCAGCAACCATATATTTCACAATAAATGTACACTCTTTGATCTCAACTGACTGTGCTATGTTCTAATTAATTTTTATACAGAAGTTTGCTATTGCCTCTTAAATGGATTTTATACACAAGACTAATCAGCTAGCCTTTTCAGCTGTGCCTTTGTCTTTTCAGCTTCCAACCAAGTTAAAAATTCACAGAATTCTAGAATTTATGGCATAGCTTTCTACATATAAGCCTTTTCAGTTTAAGGAAGGAAAGACCTGTATTTTTTTCTCTGCTTTCTTGACCCCAACAGGCACATAATAGAAAGAAATATGTGGCAACGGCTCAAGGACCTGCCTCTAGACAACGTGACTGTGGAAATGAACTGCTTTCTAGCTCTCAGCTACTTTCTTACCCAGAAAAAAGTACTGGAGTTAGTCACTGTGTATGCCCTCCACAATCATCTGAGATAGGTATAGAGCCATTTGGTATTGCTGTTTGGAATGGCAGGGCAGCTGGCATGGAGTAGGGTTTTGGCCCTGTTTCTGCTGGGGTGCTGTAACTGCCCATTCAATGAGCAGATTTTCCTGTGTCAGTGACCAAGAACCTGGAAAAGACACCCACGACTGCAAGACAGAATCCTCAATTTGTACTGGATGGTCATGCCCAGTTTAATTAATGCATATGATGTGTAGGTTCTGGCATCAGGGGAAAAAATACCAGTGAGGCTGGGGCAGAGGGCATTAGCCTGGGGAGTAAAGTAAAGGAGAAATGAGGAGCTTGGCCACTGCTGCCATTTACCTCCTGCTTTGCCACAGCAGGTGGATTCTGTTCACCTGCAGGACTAAAATGCAATAAAAAATTGTAATTCATTAGAAATAAAAACAAGTTTACTCCCTCGTCCAAATCCTCCTCTGTCTTTATGAATTCATGCAGAAAGGTCTAAGGCTCTTGACGTGCTTTTGCATAGCACCATCCTTGCTTACAAGTAAAAAGCTGTGCCTTTAATGGTCTACCTGTCATGAATCTCTGAATGGCAGTATGATGCAAACACTTAAGCTATGAAGATGCTCTAGTATCTTTTATATCCATATATATACATACATAAACCTATATGTATGCTTTGAAAATGAAAATAAAAGCTTAAGGAAATTAAAAAATCATCCCATAAATTCCCAGTGAGAAAGAGAATAGCAAATTCATCCTCAGCATCAGGTATCACTACACAATAAAACATTATTTTTGCATATCATGTAGTCTAGAGACAGCAGTAAAGCTGACATTATATCCACTTAACAAAAGGCCAGAAAACTGTCTCTCTGGAGTGGCTTAAGTATGTGGGGATCCTGCATTGGGATACAGCCAGATGACCCTGGGAGATCTCTTTCAGCATTTTTCTATGACTCTGTAAAAATAGTAATGGGGATTTAAAAAACTGGTATTTTAAAAGCATTCTTCATTCTGTGGAGAAACTCTGTCAAGAGGCATTCTTACACTTTGATACTGTCTTCCTATAGACTGATATTACAACAAGTAAGTAAGAATATGCAGAAATTAAATTATACTTTTAGAACATGGGGTGGTAATTTTCTTTTTTTTTCGCATACAGACCATACAAGACCATTTATGTTAAATGTTCAAAGATTAAAATAAATTCCATAATACAGACAGGAAGTCAGTGCAATGGAAACCAAATGGGAGTAATGGGACCCAGGTGGTTGGAATGGGTACAAAAACCCACATAGATGGCCACGTATGGCACAAATTGGAGCCTGGAGATGATTATTACAAAAGAAAGAATGGCTGTAAACTGTTAATTGTATCAATACAAACATCTTGGTGACTTACCACTGCGGAATGAGTGATGAGGGAGAAGTGTATAATTTACAGCTTTAAATGTAGCT